AGAGCAGTTTCCATCTCCCTCTCTGGATCTGACTCCTTCTGTGGAGGGGGTCTCAACGGCTACAGAGCTTTCCTTTGGCACAACCAGGGAGCTGAAGTTCATTAACTCATTTTATTATCCTTTTCTTCTATGCAGCACAGTCACAAATTTTATACAGCAGACCCCACAAGGTAAATTTCCTTTTTGCCATGTTGTGCCTAAGAAGGGCCTGTTCACCGCTCCTGGAAAGGAGCAATACAAAAATGTGCATTTGATTATTTCAATCTGTCTTTGCCCAGAAGTAGCTACTCATGAATATGTTGGTATAAATATCACAGTGTCAATCTGTTAAACTGAAGTGAGACCAAAAACAATGCCACCTGAGGTCTGGGGGAAAAAAGAGAAGTTGTCATTTATCTCAGAAATAGTAACAGCCCCGATCAGACTGATAAAACAAGCTCAGAGTGAGAGAGGAACAAAAAAACACGAGAGCTCTTATCAAAGAAATAATCCCAATATCAAAAGGAATTTGAGACAAATCAAAGATTTCAATGTAAACGATGCAGCCAGGGAACTACTACAGATTTAACTCATCTAAGAGTAGGGGGAACCCCCGAGTATGACATGAAACCCAAAAGGACACACATGATGATGTAAACGTATACAACTAGACGGTCCACCTGGGACAGAACACAACATCCAGAAGCAGACCCAAATACTAGAAGAATTTCCTATCGAAAAACTTATACAGGTAGCACCTTTAACCAGTGAAGCAGAGATGCGCTTTCCAATAAGAGATGCTGGAAAAAAAGATATAGTCACATGCTGCATAACATTTCAGTCAACGACGGACCACATATATGTTGGTGGTCCCATAAGACTAGTACCATACAGCGTAGGTGTGTAGCAGGCTATACCATCTAGGTTTGTGTAAGTATACTTTATAATGTTCCCACAACGACAAAATCGTCTAATGACGCATTTCTCAGAACATAGTCCTGTTGTTAAGTGACGCAAAACTGTACTTGGATTCATATCTTATACTGTCCCAGGATGAACTCTATATTGAACAAGATTGAAACAGGAAAAGTGAACCATAGCAGTAACAGAAGAAAAAGAATTATAAGCAGCAGATACAAATATGAAAAAAATTCAACCTTTCAACATTAAGAAATGTAAATTGAAACTACATATAGATACCATTTCTTATCTATCAAATTGACAAATACCTAAAAGTCTGAAACATACTTTGCTGATAAAACTGTGAGGAAATGGGCACACCTTCATATCTTGCTGTTAATAGTGCAAAATAGTATAACCCCATTTGCATTTACCCTTTGGCCCAGAAATTTTATAGGAAACTATCCTTCCTACACTCACATGAAATGTCATATGTATAAGATTTTTCATTACAAAATTCTAATAGCAAAAGATCAGAAACAACATAATTATTCCTCAATAAGGGATTGTGTAAATAAACCAAGGTACTTGTACACAGCAGAACACTACGCAGGTAAGAAAAAGGAGCATTGTCTGTACACTGACATGGACAACCTCTCAAGATGTCATTAAGTGAAAAACGTCAAGGTGTGGAATAATATAAAGTTGTATGCTATCTTTTTTTTAAAAAAGAGGGGGGAGAGGGGATGGCCTGGTGGCTAGCGGTTAAGTTCAAGCGCTCTGCTTCAGCGGCCCAGGGTTCACAGGTTCGGATCCTGGGCGTGGACGTACGCACCGCTCATCAAGCCATGCTGTACAACCCATGTACGAAATAGAGGACAATGGGCACAGATGTTAGCTCAGGGCTAACCTTCCTCAGCAAAAAGAAGAGGATTGGCAATGGCTGTTAGCTTAGGGCCAATCTTCCTCACCAAAAAAAAAAAAAAAAGCGGGGAGGGGGAAAATAAGAATAGATATTCATACTTGCTTGTATTTGCAATACAGAAATACTGGAAGGACAGACAAGAAACTAAAATATATGATTGCTTTACAATGGAGTAGATAAAAATGGGTAAAAGCAAGACTTTTCAATGTATAACTGTTGATATTAGTTTGACCGTAACATCCCTAAAAATATATTACTCAAAAACATTACAAAATAAAACCACTCACTTATGAATTAAAAAATTAAAAATCACACACACACAATTACCATCTAGAAAAATAAATCATGGAGTCGGCCTGGGGGCGCAGCGGTTAAGGGTGTACGCTCTGCTTCGGTGGCCTGGAGTTCGCGGGTTCAGATGCCAGGCGCGCACTGACGCACTGCTTGTCAAGCCATGCTGTGGCGGCATCCCATATAAAGCAGAGAAAGATGGGCACGGATGTTAGCCCAGGGCCAGTCTTCCTCGGCGAAAAAAAAAAAAAGAGGAGGATTGGCATCGGTTGTTAGCTCAGGGCTGGTCCTCCTCACAAAAAAAAAAAAAAATCATAAACAAAGTCCATTGAAGAATAAATGACAAACTGAAAAAATATTCGAAATAGATATGACAAGGGTTATTTCCTTAGCCCTTTCTTTTTAACCAGAAAAGATAACAATGCCAAGAAAAATGGGGAAAGAACAATGCGCAGAGAAACAGAAACAAAAACACAATGAAAAGATGTCCATATATTCCTACAAAGAAGGGCAAACAAAAACAGTGAAATACCATTTCCACCTATCAGACAAGCAGGAGGAAGCAGGCACTCTTACATATTTTGGTGAGACTATAAACTAGTGAAACTTTTTTGGAGGGCAATTTGGTAATATTTATCAAAAAGTAAAGTGGGGCCCACCCCATGGCGTAGCAGTTAAGTGCGCGCACTCAGCTGCTGGCAGCCCGGGTTCGGATCCTGGGCGCGCACGAAGGCACCACTTGCCAGGCCATGCTGTGGCGGCGTCCCATATAAAGTAGAGGAAGATGGGCACAGATGTTAGCCCAGGGCCAATCTTCCTTAGCAAAAAAGGCAAAAATTGGCGTGGATGTTAGCTCAGGGCTGATCTTCCTCACACACACACGAAAAAAGTAAAGCATCTGTAGCCTCCAACCCAGTAATGACTAGTAATTTACCCCAGGGATACACCTGCACAAGTCCGTCATGGTATTTGTTCAAGAATATTGCTTGCCACAGTGTTTTTAATAACAAAAATAAACACTGCAAATATGCTTCACTAAGGGCCCTAATAAATAAATTATAATACAGCCACATAATGCAATACTACACAGGCTGAAAAAGAATAAGGTTTACCTACCAGAGCTAATATGGAAAGACACCAAGACGAGCCATTAGGTGAAAAAAGCGAGGTGCAGAAACATACCTAGAGTAGGACCTATGTGTAAAATGCAAGAGGGCCTAGAGGCAGGGGACCAGGAGGAACACTTCAACTTCTTTTTGGATGCATTTTCTTTTACATTTTATACCTTTTTGCTCTGTTTGAATTTTATCTATGAAATTTTTTTTAAAAACCAAGTATTTAAAATATATTTTGGCAATCAGTTGCTGAAGAAAGTAGTTTCTCTATCATATCTACACAGTTCTCCAATATTTCTGTGCAACAATAGGGATGAGGGCAACAAAGACAACTCTAAGAGACAATATACAACCAGCAGCACACTTGCACATCACCTCAAGCTATATTTTCAAACTCACAAAACCTGAGATGTGAGCTATCAGGCGCACATTTCGACCAGCGTCTCTGTGTTTGGTATCACATAAACAGCACCACAACCACGGCATGGCCTAGGAGACACAACCGCAGTTCTGGATTCACTACTGACTAACGACTCAGCCTCAAGCAAACCACTTAGCTGGCCTCTCTGGACCTCAGTTTCCCCATGGGAAGAAAAATGTGTGTGCGCACATGCATGTGTGTGTGGCAGGGGGAGGCTATCCTATGATTCTAAAACTGTATGACTAACTTAAAAATACTGCAACTTTTGCATAGTTGTTTAAAAAAAAAACTCACTGATAATTTGGAAAGTAGCAAGCACACTCAGTCTGCTCATATGTTATCTATCCAGGATCTCAATAAATGTATATGAAGTATTATATACCACAGACACAGCTTAGCTGAATTTCTGAAGGCTGAAATGAAAATAACCCATCAATGGCATCTACTCATGTCAAACCAAAAGAACAGAGTTCACGTTGTTAAAGTAATAAAATGGAAATATTTAAGATTTCACCCCTATTTTTAAATGGCATGTGGATATAAAATTCCCACTGGCTACTTTACTATAGTTTTGTCTCTCTGAGCCAACCGATAATGTTACAGTGACTCTGAAGATCTGCAACAGTGCCACACGTGATGACTAACATTCTGCAACAGTTGTGGTCCAACTTCCAGGCAAGCAGGGAAACAAAGCTTTTGGAGATTCAAACTTTACAACATGATGGAAGCAGGAGCGTGAGAGGTGAAGTACAGGATATCATGGCCATCGGAATTATTACTCCTACTAGCTGTAAACTGTCAAGTGTCTCATTACTTACGTGAAACTACTTTTAGACTACTTTTTCCTAGTTCTGTATATCCACAGTTGCCCAGAGAGACAACATATTACTATAAGTTATCTCACAGGGTATGTGGCTAAGTGCCAGGAAAAGGTAGGCAACTGACTTTTATTTTTCTATCTCCATATTTGTCAATAGATTATCTACATCTATCTCCTTTTCACTGTTCCCTTTGGATTGAGCAGAGACTAAAGGAAAAGTAGGCCAAGTATATTTAATATTTTACACCAAACAAGTCATTTGCTTAAGATGGCTTGGCCAGCCTCGTGTCTGGCGCTAAATCCCAACCCGACAGTTCCAGTAGGAATTAAACACCAGTTTTAATGGGTGCTGTGTTCCAATGCCTACTAATGCATTGAGGGTTATTGGCCAACTTCTTCACATAAAGGCAAGAGTGAGTGTATGTGTGTGAACATGTGTGTGTGCCCACGTGTATGTATGGAGGGATTACGGGGGAAGCTGGCCACAGCTGCTTAATTTTTGTAATGCTTTTTTCTTCCTTAATAGGGAGGAGGGTTGCGCTTACTTACCATCCTCATAAGCCGCTACCGCCAGCGAGCTGTTTATCCTCACAAAGGAGACATATGGCTGCATTCCAGGCTCGTCCTCCTCATACTCCGATTCCAGGAAGGGAGCTATGTAGTCCCAGGTGCGGGTGTCCCACACCCTCACATCCCCTGATGTGTATCTGGAAAAGAAGGAGACACTTGGTTCCAAACGGGGAATGAAGAGCAGGGCCATGGTGGAAAAAACAGGGAGAGCCTTAAAACAACAGAGGAGTAAGACTTGGTGGGTGCGGAACCACTCCTGCAACACGGTTCAGATGAGTAACGCCAACGGGAGGAAATGTCAACCAGATAACAGAAGGCTGTGAACATCTTTCATGTTCTCATAGCACAATAGTGACAATTTCAAATGAGAACATTTTAATAAAAAATTGGGTCTCAAGATCTCCTTGTTTTTCCTCTTACATTATTATAGCCAATCTGCTACCTTAAGTTTTCTCAGTAAAGGGATCACTAACAGAAATATGTAGAAGCCACAGTATTTACACACAAACGCATACACACAAACGACAGAGAAACGCTAAGGACTAATGGTCTTACAGGCACAAGCTTTCTAATGCCTCATCCATGCATCAGATTTGACTGATTAAAGTCCCTAAAGACTAATTGATTTGCTGAAACAATTAAATCTTGCCTTTAGCAGCCAGACAATGCTGCCTTCTCATGAAAAGCTCCTGTCGAAATGCATGACACTCCCCAGTTTTGCCCACTTAGAAAATAGGAGCACTCACTCTCTCCTATTACTCCTGCCACTCCAACAAATGACGCTCTCCATCAAAGCCCGGGCAGGGCCAGAGCCTGCTCAGACACGAGGCCCCTAGGACAATGGAATGGCCAGATGATGAGGTGGTGCACCGCCTGCCGTTGAGGTACTTATGCTAAGTTCCTTACATCTGCTACAGAGGGTTTGATCCAACACATAAAGCAACTGTGGTGAGGCATGTTACTAATGCTTTAAGAGGCTCATGATGTACCCACACAAACACACAGATAGCAGATAATTTCAAGAGGTTCACAGTCTTCCTGAGGCCCAAGCTATCGTTTGTTCAGGGCTTCTTTGATTCGTGTTAGAATGTAAAGTTGAACAAGAGAACCTCTGAGATTTAATTGCTGAAAACTATGACATGGTACATCTATGAAGCAGTTATAGATCAATTTCTCACATGAGATTTCTTAATAAACTAAGAACACTGATTCAAGAGTGCTTCATTTACTAAACGTAGTAGTATTTCCCTCAAATTATTAATTGACAGTAAAGACATATATTACACAATTCAAAGGTCACTCTGTCACTCAAATTCCCCAAGTTGGAGGATTCAATTCTCTCCCTGCAGGACGAAGCCCGAGGATTGTGCGTGTGGTGTAAAGAGCCAAATAGGAGAGATGTGCTTTCTAAAATTGGACTGACGGCCGCTGTTTGCCCACTGATCCTCCAGTAAATAGAAATGCTCATTCCACGAGTGTCATTTAAGCCTGGCGATGCACAAGCAAGGGCAGATACTGATATCACCGAGGCCAAAGCACAGCCACTGGCTCCTGGGCTCTCCAGGCAGCATTCGAGATGCCCCGTCATAACAAGGAGCCCTACATAAGAACACACACCTCGCCGCACCAAAACCACCAGGCTCACCTTGACACCCCGAAAGCGACTCGGGCATTCCCTGGAGTAAGGCCCCTGACTTAGATACAGAGACACTAAACAGAGATAACATGTTTGCATTTCTAGACTGTGTGTGTGATTAGATTCTTAAGGTTAAATTCTATGTGAAAGGAAGTAGCCAATTCAGAAAGGAAAGGTGAGAAGGATGGCAACATCTTTCAGAAATATAGAGAAGGTAAGAGAAAGAAAGACAGAGGGAATTTAGGAGATCAGAGAACAAAGAAACTTTGAGAAAAAGAAGTGCACAAACCAGGAAAATGTACTTCCTTTCCGTCAGTCTTGGTCATTCTGTTTTTTATTACCTGTATATCGAACCACAGCAGTAGTCTTCACATGGTTCTTCACGGCACCCTCTCAGGGGCCACAGGGGGAGCAGAGGAGTACAGAGGAGACGGTTTTAGTGTCCTGAGCTCCAGCCCCCCAAGCCCCCTTTACCCAATGAGACAAAGCAACAACAAAACCAAAACTTGGAAAACTGCTGAAGTACACAACACTGAACTGTGAAATAGAACTTGCTGATCTCTCCATTATTTGGGGGAAGAAGAGAGGAAGGGCAGACATCCCACAGAGAGGAGTACTCTATTAATATCTAAAGGTTCCTGAGGAGCCTTTCTTCCATGAAGCTGTCCCACTCACACTGTGACTCCACACATGTAAAATTAAATGCATGCTCTCCTCAAAAAGCTTCAGCTCACCGCCAAACTAGCCTGTGGCTGAATTCCTTATTTATGTCAGTGAGGCATCAGTCCCAGGTCACTGGTACAAAACTGAGGGGCTCCTCAACACCTCCTTTGCCCACCCACACTGCTACAGCCATTCAGGTTGCCAGACCCTGTCTGCTCTTCTCATCCCAGGGATGCCCCCCTGGTCTAAGTCCCCCAGCCACCATGACAGCCTACATCTGAGCCTCTCCCACCTCCACAACCCTGCACAAGCCAAGCTCTCAAAACTACATGACTACATGAATCATTCTCCCTCACCCTCCAAACGAGACCATGTGCCCTATGATCTACCATGACAGCAGCCTGGACTCTTCTCTCGTGGCAATCGTGTGTGTGATTATCTGACTGTTCATCTCCCCTACAGACCTACAAGCCTCTCAGGTCAGAGGCTGGGTCCTGCTCATAGCTGTGAACCCAATGACTAGCACAGTGAGACTAGAATAGCACTGCATACTTAGGAAGCCCTCTGTAAACACTTAGGCCTTAACACCTTATTGAATGAAGTTTTAATTACTGGGCCTAGCACTGAAAACCGCCCACCAACTAGCTTCCCCCCTCTCCCCAGTCTCATTTTCTACTCTTCTTTAGCATGAGCTGGCCTCCAGATAAGCCTGCCATTCACTGGCTTCCAAATACTCCTGTCTCTGAACCTGGGCTCAGGTCATCCACCTTTCTGGAGTGCCCTCCCTCCTCAGGACCCAGCCCAGTGGGTCTCAATGTTGGCTGCACATTAGAATCACCTGGGAGGCTTTCAAAACTCTTCATACCCAAGCACACCCTAGATCAATTAAATCTGACTCTCTGGGGGTGGAACCAGGCATCAGTGTTTCTAATGTGCAGCCAAGATTGAGAACCACTGACCCAGCCCAAGCCTACCAACTCCTCAAGGTCTAGCACAGGCCCTCCTCCTCCATGCAGCGTTCTCTGACTCAACTACTATGCCCTGTATCCGAGAAATGACGTCCCTCAACTTGACTGTAAAGCCCTCGAGAAGGCTGTACCTCAATGCCACAGTCTCCATCACAGTGCCTTACACACAGCTAATAACTAAATGGTGACTGAAAGGGGGTGTCCACAAGTAACAACCCAACTGGTTTGAGTGGCACCTTTTATTCCTACTGCCCACCTTTCAGTGCAAATGATCAGTGAAACACTCAGAACGCACACATCGACATGCATTAGACTTCTTGCATTTATCTCCAAACTGATTACATATCTCTCTATAAAACACAGGGTAAGCTAAATTATTTCAGTAAACATGAAATTTTCCATAGACATCAATTTAAATTAACTCCATTTTTCATAGCCAAAGAGCATGATAATAGCATAAATGTTTTGCTGCAAAATGACTCAGGAGGCAAAATATAAAAGACTCTATGTCTCCCTTATGATGGCAACAGAGAATAAATATCCTATTTCAGCAGGTACTGTGTGATAACTCAGCAGTAGGCTCTAAAATCTCACACAAGTGAAAGCAACCACAGCAGTGGGGCTCAGGCTCAGGGCTAATGAATTCGTGCTAAAGAAACAGACACCTTCACAACGGTAAAACACTGGCTGGGGCAGAGGGACCTGGACCAAACCCTAAACGTGATCTAAAAGCATTTAACAACATTGGCCAGGAGAAGCAAGAACTGATACAGGAGGGAGGGAGGAGAAAAGGCTGATGTTTCTCCAGAGCTCCAGATGTCTTTATCGCTGCCTGATGACAATTACACTCAACCAATTAAGACACCACTATGACAGCTGCATTGTCAGTAAGCCTTTGGACCCACGGTTGATGGCTCTCTAATTAGTGTCTGTGCAAAGTACAACTGCAACTAATATATTAGCTGATATAAGAACACTAAAGAAAAACTGAAGAACGAAGCCTTTTCCAAATGAGTAAGGATGCCCTGGCCCACTGCATGGACCAGCGCAACTCTACACATTCCCAATCTTTTTTACGCTTGGCAACGTTGAGTTTACCTCCAAATAAATAGGTCAGAGACCACAGCTGATTTTTTGTTGAAAGAATGGGAATAGAGCCTCTCTCAAGCCTGGCACGCCACAGCAACTGCCAATTTAAAATGATTTACCACCAAAGAGCTTTCATTAACTAGTAAGTTTCCAATAAGCAGACTACTTATTTAGACCAAGAGACCCAAAGAAAAAGGAAGAAATGTACAGCTGAAAACAACCTTTAACCTTTCTTCTTGTATAAACATCCAATGGGGTGGGAGGAGTAGGGGGATGGTTGCATTTTACTCCAGGTGCCAGCGCTTATTTGCTAAACACTATTTTAAGGCTCTTCATAACAACCAGGAGGGTTGTTTTGATTTAAGAATGCTAGAAGGTTAAGTGACTTACCCAAGGTCACAAGAAACATTTTAGTGGCACAGCTAGGATCAAATGGGTCTCCAGTCTTTTCCCAAACTGCTGCTTAGCCAATAAGCCACTCTGCCTCTTCCGATGACAGTGTCTTTAAACAAATACAGCTTTTAAGAACCATCCCCATTTAAGTACAATATAAGAAATTTTACTGGTTTCAATATCGTGACTCAGGCTTGGAGGACACAGCCCCCGACCCTAACTCATCAATTCCACCACTATGCCTCAACTGGAAGGCAAGAAGCCAACAAAAAAGCTCAATATGCTGGCAAGGAATGCGGGGCTGGGCAGAGGCAACAGTGCCTCCCACACCCACTTCACAGGTGATGTGAGAGCACACGAGGAAAGACAGGTGAAACTTCACCCTCTA